GGCTCCGGTGATCCTTCCGCCTCAGCCTTCCGATTAGCCGGAATTACAGGCGTGCGCTACCACGCTCGGCTAATTTTTTTGATTTATTGTAGAGAGGTCTCGCCTGCCTAGGGGGATCTCGAACCCGTGGGCTCAGGCAATCCACTCACCTCAGCCTCCCAAAGGCGCGGGATTACAGGCTGAGCCACCGAGCCCGGCTTCTTTTTTGTTGTTTTTTCGTTTGTTTTTTTGAGTTGGAGTCTCACTCTGTCACCCAGACTGGGGTGCAGTGGCCGCTCCTGGCCACCGTAGCCTCGACCTGCTGGGCTCCGGTGATCCTTCAGCCTCAGCCTTCCAAGTAGCTGGAACTACAGGCGCGTGCTACCACGCCCGGCTCGTTTTGATTTGTTGTAGAGATGAGGTCTCGCCAAGTTGCCCAGGCGGGTCTCGAACCCACGGGGTCAGGAAATCCACTCACCTCAGCCTCCCAAAGCGCGGGATTACAGGCTGAGCCACCGAGCCCAACTTGAATTTGATGCTTTCTAAAGGCATCTTTCACGCCGGTGATCTCATTTAGTCTTCACAGTAATGCTGTGGGAAGGCAGGGAGATTCGGCCTCTCTGAATGTACACACTAATGCTCAGAGAGGTTCAATAACTTGCTAGTGTGTGGCTCTGTCCACACCACATGGGACCTGGAAGGTGGACAGAAGGAACTCAGGGAAAAGAGTTGTGGAAGAAAGATGGGGTAAGTTGGGCCTGGGGTTTCTAAGCAAAGTGTTGATACGGAAAGAAGTGGCCCCACAATATGGAGGGAAGTCAAGGCAGCAGAAGGCAGGTATGTGACTGGGTGGGGGCAGGTGCATGCGTGTGACAACTGGGTGGGGAGAAAGCAAAGTCTATCATGGCTGGGAGCCTTCAAGGCTCATGGGGTTTTATCCGGGTGTCCTGGGCTGGGCTGGCGAGAGCAGGGGTGGCTCAGGGTGTGGTGTCCTGCCACACTGGTACCAGCAGGTTCTGAAGCAACAGGTGGTGTCCCACATCCTGGCTGCCACCCAGCTTTGCTGGCATGGCTGGCACTGAAATAGGCCTTTATCACAGCCTGGACTCTCACGAGGAAGCTGGTGACCAAATCCTAGTCCTTGAGAACCCTTTCCTCTATTTCAGCCCCTCTGCCACCAGTTTCCTCTCTCCAGTGTCTCTTTTTATATCTTCTCTTCTCAGACCTCCACTGTTTTACCTTTTGTCTTCTCTTTCCTTTGGTCCTATGGTCTGGCCCAAGATTTTTCCCCTCAGGATTTAGGTCCCCCACTTCTCAGGGCCTCAGTTTCCCCAATCTCAGTCTCTTCAGGTCCTTTCTTTTGACCTGCTTGTTTTCCTCTTATCTTCCAAGTATTCCTTCTAGGCCTCCGACTTTAAAGTCTCATTTTCTGTTTTCCTGTTAGGTGATTGCCTATGACCCCCCAACAATCAACCTGCCCTTATTCTGCCATCTCAATATCCTTTCAAGATAACAGCCAGTTCTCCCTTGTTCCTCCACCCCAAACTCTCCCTAGGCTCCTCTCAGGGAAAAATTAGAGTGGCAGATGACTGAGATGGGGCTGAAAGGTGAGGGAGAAAGTCGAGCCTCTCTGGCCTTTACTAATCATTATTCTCCTTCCCAGGGACATTGGCTAAGAGCATCGGCACCTTCTCAGACTCCATTAAGGACTCCACACGTATCACTTCCCTGAATGACCCCTACCTCACCGGGAAGGGAGGTGCCAGTAGCTTCAGTAGCCACAGTGGCTCTAGCAGTTCCAGTAGCGCCACTTTCAGTTCTAGTGGTTCCAGTGGTGGCTCCAGTGGTGGCTCCAGCGGATCCAGTGTCATCCAGAGTGGTTCTTCAGGATCTTCGTTATTTAAGCCAGGAACAGAGTACTCCCAAATCAGTTACTCCTCAGGATCTGGCTCTGGTCTACAAAGTGCATCTGGCTCCTCCCACTCAGGAAGCAGCAGTGCCCAATTGGGAAGCCCTCAGTCAGGATTCATCAGCTACGAAGTAGGACGTGGCTCTGCTCTGCCAACTGATCCTGATTCTTCTCGTGCGAAAACAAGCTCCTCCCAGTCTAGTGGAAGCTATTCCTTTTCTCAGACCTCTGGGGTGTCCAGCAGCGGTGGCCAAAGTGTCAGCTCCAACCTGCATCCCTGTAGTTCAGACGTCCCCGACTCTCCCTGCAGTGGAGGGCCCATCGTCTCACACTCTGGTTCCTCCTACATCTCCAGCTCCCACTCTGTGTCAGGGGGTCAGAGGCCCGTGGTGGTGGTGGTGGAGCAGCATGGCTCTGGTGGCCCTGGAGTGGTTCAAGGTGCCCCTTGTAGCAATGGTGCCCTTCCAGGCAAGCCTTGTCCCCCCATCACCTCTGTGGACAAATCCTATGGTAGCTATGAGGTGGTGGGTGGCTCCTCTAATAGTTATCTGGTTCCAGGCATGACCTACAGTAATGGTAAAATCTACCCTGTGGGCTACTTCACCAAAGACAACCCTGTCAAAGGCTCTCCAGGGGTCCCCTCCTTTGCAGCTGGGGCCCCCATCTCTGAGGGCAAATACTTCTCCAGTAACCCCATCATCCCCAGCCACAGTTCTTCTAGTTCCAACTACCAGTCCTCAGTCAACGTGTTCCAGCCAGTGGGCACTGGTGGGGTCCAGCTCTGTGGAGTTGGCTCCACGGGCTCCAAGGGGCCCTGCTCTCCCTCTGGTTCTCGGATCTACAGCAGTTCCATTTCCATCAATTCTGGTTCATCCTACCATCCCTGCGGCGGGTCTTCCCAGGGGCCTTGCTCCCCACCAGGCACCAGCTCCTTCGGCGGCAGCTCCAGTTCCCAATCCAGTGACAAAATTGTCCTTCAGCCCTGTGGCAGCAAGTCCAGCTCTTCTGGTCACCCTTGCACTTCTGTCTCCTCCTCAGTCTCGAGTGGGGGTCCCAATGGCGCTCCCCAACCTGATCCCTCCGCTGGCGCTAAACCCTGTGGCTCCATCAGCTCTGGAAGGATCCCCTGCCGCTCTATCCGGGATATCCTGGCCCAGGTGAAACCTCTGGGACCCCAGCTAGCTGACCCTGAAGTTTTCCTACCCCAGGGAGGGTTACTTGATAGTCCCTAAGTCAGCTTTTGCATATGTGCAGCACCAGCACACACAAACACACACACCATATCCCACCTGGGAGAAGTCCAGAGACCCAGGCAGAGGGTCATCTCAGTTTCCCTCCTCCCTCCCAATACAGCCACTCTGCTTCCTCCACTATGCCAGTGTTGCAAACTCTCTCTTATCACTCCTTGTTTCATCACTCCAAATGGTCCACTCAGAATCCCTTGCATCCTTCTCTTCTACTGCTTAGATTCCCATTCCGCTGCAGTGCCCTCTCAGCCAGAAAGCCATCCCTTAAAATTGCCTTGGTTATTTCTTTGAGATGATCCACTGACTAACCCCAACCATTCGGGTTCTTGAAAGTTCCCAGAGCACCTCTGATGCCTGAACAACTATCCTTTCCTCTTCCTCTTTGCCAAATAAGGCAAAGTCAAGTCATTATTTGAAAACACTGGCCATTTTTCACTGACCTCTCTTTGCCATCTGGTCAACCAATTGGATATGCCACTATGCTCTCACTCTTGATTCCACTCCCATTAAAGAGTTTCCCACGCCCTAAAGATCATGGTCTTTAACACACCCCTTGCCTTTCCAAATCTCCATTGCCCCCTTCCTGCTACCACTTTCCTCAGTGCTCAGATGCTTCCCCGGGTGAGGGAGACACTGGGACAGCCTCAGAGGCTGGAGCAGACTCCTGGCTCTTTTGGACCTTAGATAGATGCCTCAATAAACTGTGTGAACCGGGTGCAGACTTTTTGCCTTCCTGGAGTCCTGGGTCTCCTCCTAGAGCCTGGATGGTGCTCCTCCTGTGCCTCTAGAGGTCCCTGTGTCTCTTATTCCACTCATAAGTTGGCCCTGTATTTCTCTTATACCTTATAGCTCCTCCCACAAAGGAGGAAAACAATAAATATTTGTTGAACTGAAATCAGAAATCGCCTGGTCTTCCAGATCCTTCCTTCATTTCTTTCCTCTCTCATGGCTCCAAGAAATCCATTCTCTTCCCACCGTCATACATCCTGGGGTCTTTTCCTCCCATTGTATAGAGTCCTCATCAATTCCTCCCTCCCCACCAAAACTCTTTTCCCTTTACCATTAGTGAGCCTCACCTTCTAGACACCATCCTCTCTGGGAGTCGCGAGCCTTGATTTCTTGAGTTTCGGGGACACCTGGAACCTTAGGAAGGCTGGGTTACAACAACCCAGACCAGATTCCTGTCAACTGAGTAGGAGCCCAAGTGGGTGTTGTTCTGGATGCTGGGGGTGGAGAGAGTAAAGGACCGAGAGGACAGGAGTGGGGCAGGGAGTACAGCCAAGCAAAGTGACTCACAATCCAACATAAAGAGGCTCCAGCCCGTGGCAGGACAGAGCCAGCAGTGTCCTCTCCACCTGCATACTCTTACTGCCTCTGCTGGGGTTCCACAGAGAGACAGAGAGAGAAAGAGAGAGCTGTGGATGATACAACTCTCAGGTGATGGGTGAGAGAGCAGAGCACTCCACTGGAGAAGATGAGGTGGCCTCCATGAGAAAAGAGAAAGTGGGGAGCATGGTGAGGGCCATGGGACTTATGTCCTGGAGAGAGGCAGGAAGAGTCTAAGGCCAAGGAACTGGAATTTCTGTATTTCAGGGAGGGCAGAATGGACTGTGCTTGTCCCTGTACGAGGGATCCCACCTCCAAGCACAGGCTACCTCTCAGAGCTTCTGCTTGGCTGAGAAGGAATATACCCTTACCCTAGCACCTAACCCATTCTTTTCTTTTGGGATGGTCTTAGCAGGCCTTGAATTTAGAACTACTGAAACTCTAAGTCTGGTACCAGCAGAAATGTATCCCATTGATCAGAAATGACCAGGGGCAGTTGAATCAACCTGCAGGATTGACTGAAGACAAAGCAGGGCTTCAAAAACAGTCCTGCTTCTGTCATCATTGTTGAGTCATCCTTGGTCTAGGATCTGGCCTCTGGGCTGCAGCCAGTGGCAGGAATTGAGACCCTCAGAGACTCCATGGATGAGAATTGCAGGGAGGGGTAGGCCCTCTGACGTGGGGACTCTGGGATGCTCCAGGTTAGAAGCTTATGCAAAACCTGTGCATGTCACCCACAAAAGGCACTGAGCTCCACCCACTGGCCAGTTCTGGAGAGGAGCTCTATGCTCTTCTAGGGGCTAGCCAAGGGCTGGGGCTGAAGACACAAGAGTAAAATCAGCTAACAGCTCATGTTTAAACCTCAGGCAGCTAGGGAAGGATACTCCTGGGGCCTCTCAGAAACAATGGGGAGAATAAAGGCATTGAATTTTTGCTAAGAAACTGTCAAACATATATAAAAGTAGACAAAATAGTTGCTACTTCTTTGATCAAGTCCTGGCCATTTGACAGTAGTATTTAAATACCCTCCTCTACTGTTACTTGGAAATAGCAGTGTTCTCTCAGTCTTTCTTAAGTTTATGGCACATCTGACCACTGGTGGTAGGCCATCACCACCAAAGAAGTCCACACGCTAATCCCTGGAAACTGTGAATATGTAGATTACATGGCAAAGGGGAATTAAGTTTGCAGATAGGATTAAGGCTGTTGGTCAGCTGATTTTAAACTAAGAGGATTATCCCAGATTATCTGGGTGGATCCAATGTAATCACAGCATCCTTAACTGGGCGTGGGCGGTGGAAGAGGACGTCAGAGTGAAACAACGTGAGAAGAACACACTGACTTGAGCATTGACGATGGAGGAAGAGGACCATGAGCCAAGGAATGCAGGTGGCCTCAAAGCTGGAAAAGGCAAGGAAAGGGTTTCTCCCCCGTCGCGCCTCCAGAAAGAAGCACAGCTGACACTTGGATTTTAACACAGTAAGACCCATTTTGGACTTGATCCCTCAACCTGTAAAATAATAAATGTGTATTGTTGTAAACCATTCAGTTTGTAGTAATTTGTCACAGCAGCAACAGAAAAAAAATGTTGAATTGGGGTCTCACTCTGTCACCTAGGCTGAAGTGCAGTGGCACTCCTACAGCTCACAACAGCCTTGACCTCCTGGACTCAGGCGATCCTCCTACCTCAGCTTCCCAAGTAGTTGGGACTACAGGTGACTGCCACCATATACAGCTAATTTTTTAATTTTTTGTAGAGACAAAGTCTGGCTATGTTGCCCAGGCTGGTCTAGAACTCCCAGGCTCAATCAAACCTCCCACCTTCGCCTCCCAAAGTACTGTGATTAAAGGTATGAGCCGCTGCACTGGCAGCAACAGGAAAATTAGTACAACATTATCTGGCCACCTTGATTTTGACCCAGTGAGACCCAGATGGGGCCACTTCTGCACTCCAAATCCTCCTGCAGGTTGGGGTCAAGGTGGAGGAGATGTGGAGATGCTGGAGAAGCAGGTACTGCGAAGAAGGATCTGGATCCCAAAGAGAACCAAATGTTTCTTTTTTTTATTATTCTTTTTGAGTTGAAGTCCCACTCAGTCGCCCAGGCTGGAGTGCAGTGGCACGCTCATGGCCACCCCAGAGTGGACCTCCTGGGCTCGGGCGATCCTTCCACCTCAGCCTTCCAAGTAGCTGGAACTACAGGCGCGTGCCACTTCGCTGGGCTAGTTTTTCGATTTAGTGTAGAGATGAGGTCCCGCCAAGTTACCCAGGCTGTTCTCGAATCCGTGGGCTCAGGCCATCTTCGGCCTCTCAAAGTGCTGAGATTATAGGCTTGAGCTACCATGTCCAGCTGAGAACCAAGTGTTTCTATTGCTCAGAGAGGCAATGGAGAGATTGGGCCCCATGTGGAGGTCCTTGTGTATAGAGAATCAGGGGAGGATAAGGCTGGCAACCAGGGACAAGCTGTGAGCCAGGACACCTGGGTCAAGAAGGGGAAGGGAGCTCAAGGAAAGGAGCCAGGGTGGGGGACACCCAGCTTTCAAGTGGCACCTGTTGCCACAGACCATATCAGGAATGAGGGTGGAAGGTAGAGATTCATTGTCTCCACAACCACTGGCCCAGCCTGTTTCCGCTGTCCCCCGCCCCACTACCAGGATAAAGGGCTGACTGGCTTGCGGCAGAGAGAGCTCAGCAGGATGCAGCGCTGCGTGGCAGGGAGCTTGGCTCCTCTGGGCCTGCTCCTGATCTGTCTTTATCTCCCAGGTACGGAGGCCACGCTTGACACTTGGGCAGGAGGGGCCTGTGGTCTCCTGGGGAGCTGGAATTAAGGGAAGGGATAAAGGCAGGAGGGCACACATTGGGTCCCTGAGGGAAGGAAGAATTGGCATAGGAGAAGTGCAGGGAATCAGGGAAGGGGGATGTTGGGACCAAAAACCCAACTCCATTCTATTGCTTTGTCTTCTTTTTCCTCAGGCCTCTTTGCCCGGAGCATCAGTGTAGTAGAGGAGAAAGCTTCCCAAAACCTAGGGACCAATATGCCTCTGCTTGGACAGCCTTCCTTGACCGGCTCTTCTAACACTGAACATCTTCAGCCTGCACCAGAACCCAAATCTAATAATTTAGCAAGGGTTCCTCTGAAGCTTAACACTCCTCTATCAGACAACTTCCAACCTGCAGGTGGTTCTGCAGTACCAAGGTGGCCTCCATCTGGGGGGCTGTCCACTGTAGGTTACTGGCCCTCTGAGGATCCTTGGCAGATGATGGTTGCTTCTGCTGAGGACTATCCGGAAGAAGTGCTGCCTGAAGGACAATCCTACCTCTCCAGCGCTACTGCCCTCCCTCTGGACAATGACCCTTTGCCCAAGGAGTACCTTGCACACTCTGCAGGGCCCTCAACTGAGGCTTCACTCCTCCACCACAGTAAGGAGTCTAGACGGCCATCCCGCTCTAATCCTCTGGGATCCCAGGGAGAAATCCTTGCCCAACGCCCACCCTGGTCTCTTATCCACAGGATTCTGCCTGGTCACCCATGGGGGACCCTGAATCCCAGTGTGTCCTGGGGAGGTGGAGGTCCTGGCACTGGATGGGGAACGAGGCCCATGCCACTCCCTGCAGGAATCTGGGGTAATCAATTCCCAGGTAGCAGCTGGGGGAATATCAATCGCTATCCAGGGGGTAGCTGGGGAAATATTAATCAGTATCCCAGTGCAGGCTGGGGGAATGTTCGTCCATATCCAGTTATCACTAATCAATTTCTTCCTGGAGTTGTCCGTCCTCCCGGCTCTTCTTGGAACATCCCAGCTGGCTTCCCCAACCCTCCAAGCCTTGGGTCGCAATGGGGTTAGAGCACCACAAAGGTAACCCCAAAGTTGGAAGTTGGAGAAGGAAATCCTGCCCCTGCCCCTCGCTGTATGAGCTCAGTCAAGGTCCAATCAGTGTGTTGCCAGCATCCTCTCCATTTTTCCCTGCTCCCATGCTGATCGCCAATCAAATAAAAGCACTTATTGAATTTTCTTCTTCCCTGTGTCTTTGTTTCTGGTCATAAACTGCAGTGAGTTTTGTCCATTCCCATGTTCTAGCCATCCCCAGGTCCCTCCATGGACCCCTGCAAATTCTCTCTAGCAGTCGCCATCCTTTGCAAAAGATTAAAGCCCAGGCGCTTGAGGGTGGGGCCTTATGGTCTCACCCCCTCCAGGTGGGAGAGCTGGTGCCAGAATTGTCCTGGAATCTGAAAGGGGGAGCCAGGAGAGCAGGGTTAATAGAGATGGCACTTGTGACTGGGCGGAAAGATGAGATCCCCAAAGGCGGCACCAGGGCCAGGGGGGAGGAACACCTTGTAACTCATAGACAGAGAAGGTCACATTGTTTACACTTCACTTACCTTTTCTTGGAAGAGGAGGATGCATTGACCTCCTCCCTCACATGCATCACTTAGCACATTGTGCCCCAGAGAACCACAGACTTTGAACATATGCAGAATAAATAGCATATCCTGATAAAGGATAAGAGACAAGAGAGAAGGGAAAGGGAGAGGAAAACTTTGAAGCCAACAATCCCATCTGCAACAGCATTTGATGCTTTTATTCCCAAGAGATGGCACAGTCTCTTCCTTTGGTCATGCTATTGTCTCTCCCACCCTCCCTCTGGTTTTCCCAGGGGCTCAGCACCCTTATACAGGACTTGGAGTGAGGGCAGCGAAGGGTCAGACTACAAAAGTGCAGACGAAATGCGTGGGAGTGGCTTGGAGGTGATTTGGTTCCCAATTCTCTTTTCTCCTTGGGCCACATATCGCACCCATTAGCAGTCCAGGTGTATGAACACTCCGTTTAGCCTGGGGAATCATGCTAGGAACTAAGCAGCCTGTGGGAGAGGAGGCAGGAGGAGGAGAAACATCAGAACCCAAGGGGTGGGGCGCTGCCTGCCTGCCTCCCTGCTTGAGTGGGAGATGGCAGTTTTCAGAGATGTTCTGTTCAGGCGTATGCTGGAAGGCTCCATCCTGCTCTGAGAAACCCTTTCTGGGAAACTCTCTCCAGCAACCCACCTTCACCATCTCCAACCAAACTTCTTTCTCTGTCACCTCAGCCTCCTCACCCATATCTCTTCCCTCCTTGGACTCTCGTGGTTTCTCCTTGCCCCAGGGTGGAGTGGGGTAGGGATGTCTGTTTTCAACACCTGCCTCTTCTACAATCCCGGGGTCATTCTCTAAGTTTTCTGGTCTGATTTCTCTTCATCTCTCTTTCTGGTTGCCCCCTCTCTATTGTTATTCCTATTTGCAATTCTCCTGCTCGGTTCCCCAAACTCATTTGAGTGTAAACACCATGGGGACAGGGCTTTGTCTGTTTTGTTCACTGGTACACCCCCAGCACCAAGAGCAGGATCTGGACCCTGGTAGGTACTCAGCAAACAATGAAGGAATGGGTGAATCCTCTCTGCCTCTGTCTCTGTCTCTCTGTCTCTGTCTTTCCTGCCTTCTCTAAGCTTCTCTCTTCTGCTCTGTTCTTGAGCCACATGGCTGCATGCAGAATCTGATCCATATTCCTGCTAGGCCTTCCTGAACTTCATTGACATTTCCTCAGAACCTCATGAATTCCTTTTCAGCTCCTAAATATCCAGACATTTCATCATTGAACCCTCATTACTCTCCATAATGAAGGTGTTATCGGATTCTTTTTACAGATGGAGGAACTGAGACTTAGACGAATGAAGCAACTCATACAAAGTTCCAAGTGACAGAGGTGGTGACTCAAGCCGAATTTTTCTCATCATCTGTCCAGGGAGTGTTCAAGTACAATATGTAATTAACAGCAACAACAACTAACTTTTATTATATAGACCAGAACATGGACAAGGTGCTTTCACACACACCCTTTTAGAGAATCCTCACAACAATCCCATTGGGTGGGCACTGATGGGCTCATTGCACAGGGGAGATACTGAGACCCAGAGAGGGTGGGGAGTTGAGGCTCTAACACAAGCAACACTGAACTAAGAAAGTGAAGTTTATCTGGTGCTCAATGCTGATGGCTCAGGGAAGCTGGGGCTGCAACAGTGGAGGGCTCAAGGCAGCTGTGGTTGGTCCCCTCAGAGTGGTCTTTGGCTTAAAGTTAGTTATCGCTTAATAAACGGGAGTGGGCATGATAGCTTATGCCTGTAGTCCCAGCATTTAGGGAGGCCAAGGTGGGAAAAGCACTTGAGTACAGGAGTTTGAGACCAGCTTGGGTAACATAGTAAGACTCCGTATCTACAAAAAATCAGAAAATTAGCCTGGTGTGGTATCATGTGCCTGTAGTCCCTGCTACTCGGAAGGCTGAGACAGAGGATTGCCTGAGCCCAGGAGGTCGAGGCTGCAGTGAGCCATGATCATGCCACTACACTCCAGCCTGGGTGACAGAGTGAGACCCCGACTCAAAAAATAAAAAATAAAAATAAGGGGAGGGGGAAGTTTTCAGCAATATATGATATATGATATAACAAAGATCCTAATGTTTGCAGTGGAGACCGCTGCTGGGTACTGATTTCTAAATTGTTACTTGTGGTTAATTGGCAGAAGTGACGGTTAAAGTAGCAGGAGTTATTTCTCTTAATCTAGGAGAGCACTTGTCTAGTTATTGACCTCTGTGAACCTTTGTCTTCTCATCTGTTTTTTGTTTCTTTGTTTTTGTTTTTAAGTTGAAATCATTCTGTTGCGCAGGCTGGAGTGCAGTGGCATGTTCATGGCCACCACAGCCTTGACTTGCTGGGTTCAGGCAATCCTTCTACCTGAGCCTTCCAAGTAGCTGGCACTACAGGCATGCGCCACCATGCCCAGCTAATTTATTGCAGAGCCAAGTTCTCGCCAAGTTGCCCAGATTGGTCTCGAACCCGTGGATTCAGGCAATCCTCTTGCCTTAGCCTCCCATAGTGCTGGGATTACAGGCGTGAGCCATCATGCCTGGCTTGTCTTCTCATCTGTTAAGTGAGATGAAGCCAGCCTCTCTCACAAGGTTGTTAGGAAGTTTAATTAAGAAAATGATAAAAAGTTAGACCCAGTAGCTTATGTCTGTAATCCCAGGAGGCTAGGGTGGGAGGATTGTTTGAGCCCAGGAGTTCGAGGCTACAGTGAACTATCATCACACCACTGCACTCCAGCCTGGGCAACAGAGGGAAATCCCATTTCTTTTTTAAAAAAATTTATTTACTTATTTATTTATTTTTGAAACCCCATCTTTTTTTTTTTTTGAGTTAGAGTCTCACTCTGTCGCCCAGGCTGGACTGCAGTGGCTGTTCCTGGCCACTGCAGCCTCAATCTGCTGGACTCCGGCGATCCTTCCATCTCAGCCTTCCAAGTAGCTGGAACTAAAGGCGTGTGCTACCACGCCTGGCTAATTTTTTATTTATTGTAGAGACGAGGTCTCTCCAAGTTGCCCAGGCGGGTCTTGAACCCTGGCGGCTCAGGCAATCCACTCACCTCGGCCTCCCAAAGTGCTGGGATTATAGGCTGAGCCACGGAACCTGGCCCCTCATCTCTTAAAAAAAAAAAATCCCAGCTCTTTGGGAGGTTGAGGTGGGAAGATTGCTTGAGGCTAGGAGTGTAAGACCAGTCTGGGCAACATAGCAAGACTCTACAAAAAAAAATTAGTAGGGCATGGTGGCAAACACCTACAGTCCCAGCTACTTGAGAGGGTCTGAGGCAACAGTTGATCACTTGAGCCCAGGTCAAGATTGCAGTGAGCCATGATTGGGCCACTGTACTTCATGTCTCTAAAAAAAAAAAAAAAAAAAAA